AAAAAATTTGCATTTCTTCCAAATTCATCTGTTCGCCCAATTTTAAGTGAATTTAAACATCACTTCTGGCAATTCTCACTGCGTAAGAAAGTTCGTGATTTCATCGTCCCTTTCAAGCTTCGCATTTAATTAATACCGAAAATCGTTCACGTTCAATCAGCAGCCTCCAATTTGGCAGGAATTCGTCAATTATCGCTTACAGCTTGGAACTTTTTCGGTTCATCAACTCAATGCGTATTTAAAACCGTTATAAACAGCAATCTAATGCGATTTTCGCAACTGGACTTACCTTGGCCAAAGAAAGGCACCATTGCATGGGCAGCATCGCCAATAATCAGGAATTTATCGCCGATATGAAATCGGCCACATTTGATGGACACCAGAGATGCAGGCGCATTTCCAAAGTAAACTTCCTCAAGTTCACGTGCCCCTATTAAGGGCAGAGCGTCGGGAAATCGGCTGCGGAAGAACCGCAGCAGTTTTTCCGGGCTGTTAATCGCAGCGAACTGCTTGAACGGCATGAAAAGCGTTACAGTCCAAGAGTGGTCTTGGTTTGGTAGGGCAATCATCATAAATTCACCTAAACAGGGATTTTTTGCTGCTGAAACTTCTTAAAAGAGGAACGGTTTCAAAGCCCATTAAAGTGAAAGCTCCTTTCGGATTTTCCAAGGCTTCATTATCGATAGGCTTATTTTTTACTTGGCCTGATTCTTTAATGACGTTAAAGAGACCTAAAAGCGATCTTTGAATAGAGGAGGCAATGAGCGGGTTTACTGTTTCAGTACATATGGGTTTGATTTTCGGTGGAAATTGCCAAGTTTCTAGCCTCGAAAGTGGCCTCATCAGGATTGAAAAGGTTTTTTGGGTTTCCAAACATCATGCGCTATTTCTGAAAGAATGAAGCCCTCAAATTGGTTGAAAACAACTTTGATTGCGGAATTGTTGAGTTTTTGGGGATTTGAGCGGTGGGAAATAATTTCCCCCGGACGTTTCGCCAGCGCAAATGGCATCTTCAGAGCTGGTTCGCTCGCGCTTGCGAAAAGCCCGGCGAGGAAGGTTTCGAACATCACTTTTGTGACAAAACATAATTTTTTTAGAGCAAATATAAAGATTGATATCGAATTTCGTTCGTTCGAGTTGTTTTTCACCTCGTCAAACTAGCTTTTTCTGGGCCTGCAAAAAACGAGTAAGTGGCGTTTTCCTAGACATGATATTTCGCTTATTTCTTTCCAGCGGATCGAATAATGCGGGGCGAAAATACGCCCGCCAAATTCCTTTGGCTGGCGGTTTTTTCTTATTTATGGCAACTTATCAAGGAGGAACGCCTTCGGCAAAATTGACGTGTGTTAAGCGCCGATTTGCGTGTTGAATTGAATTTTCCTCCACCTGGGAAAGATTGCTGAATCAAGCCTGGATTGATTGCCTAGCAGCTAATTAGCCAGCAGCAGCAATTACCTCTAGGCCATATGTGCAGGTGGTTGTTGACCAATCCATCACCTCTTTCAGCCGGCACACTCAATTCGAGGTATCCGTGGTCGATAAAGTACTGCGAAAAATCAAACAGGGGGCATTTCTGCAGGAAGAGCCTCAAAGTGGAAAACGCCCCATCTGCTCCCATTATGAAATCGGCACTTACTGTTAGTGTTGTGTTCGTTACAGTGCTGAAAATATTTACTTCAACAAATTGCTTTCAGGATCTGAAAATATTGTGTTTTTCAACCGGGGGCGAAATAAATGACCACTCGCCCCTGAAACATTAGTCGTGTGGTGTGGGTTTGCTGGCGATGACTTAATTTTACTGGGTGAGCTGAGTTTTTGAGGGTTTAGCAATCATTGCTCTACTGGCAGCCAATCAGCTTCCAGGCTTTTCAACTTACCATTGCACAGTGACTGCGCCCTTTCCGAAGTCGACACCAACTAGTTTCTGATTGAATTTCACATCAACATTAAAGCGACTTTCTGCCTCTGGAAAGCAAATTTTTATCCAGGGTGCTTCAAAATTGGCGGCCTTCATTTCAAGGGGTTGCAGAGGCTCATGGATCGTTCCCGAAAAGTGTTGAAAAAACCTTTCAAATGTTTCCAGAAGCTTTCAGCAGTTGAAAATTGAGTTTCAACTCTGTTTTTGGTATCATTTTGAAATGGTCCCATGGTTCATTGACAGTTGACTAGTTTTTCGCAATTGTTGCAGTTTTTCTCCTCTACTCCCCGGGAAAAATTCCGCCAATTTTCAACCGCACTCTATAGCACTCCTACCTGTCAATAATGCGCAATTTAATGCATTTCTGCCTACCGAATAGATGCACTAAAAGAAGTCATTGATTGTTTGACAAAATGGGAATGTTTGATTATTGTTTCACCTGCTTTGAAGTGGGATCGTATGGCATAATTGTGCGCGATCCGAATTCGTTGTGTAAAAACCTGGCGGACATGGGAATGGCATTTTTCAGTATATTCGCCTCTATCCCGATAAGTCGCAGGGCTTTTCGCCCCCGATGTGATAGAGCCAAGTTTATCGATCGGCCCTGATTGGCTCTAGTTCGTCGAATGTCTGCGAAAAAAAATGCCCAAAAGCAATTGCGGTTTTTTTGTTCCACCGTATACATTCAGGAGGAAACAGTGGCGAAAGTACCTTCTCGTTTTTCGTATAGCGTCACCCTGTATCCTCTTTGGGCCATCAAACATGCACATAAAGAACCGACCTAAAAAAAAATGTTTTGCTAAACCTATCCTGAACTTTTGCCCAAAACTTCAGCACCCGATATTTTCGTAAATATTTCCTTAAGGACTTTTCTGCTTCAAATCATGCCGCAAATGTACCTTTTTCTACAAGGTTGTTTGATTGTACGGTAACGAAAACTCGACAAATTTCCTAGTTTTTAACCAATGTGGCTTCAAGCTCATTAGAAAGTGTTTAATGTCGATGTTGTGCCGAGCCGAGGASTAAATTTGCAATTTGAAAAATAATTTTTCGTTCCTMAACGTTTTCCTTGTTSAAAAATGAAAACGTTCAAAAATTTAAAACCCAAAACTTATAATTGTTTGCTCCAGAAGTTGTTTAGTTTTTATATTAGAGATGTTGTTATAGACTGTTTCGTTAATCCAGAGCTTTAATAGTTTAATTTTTTGGCAAATATTTTAACGCGGTTTGGAAACGTTTTTGCTCATTTCTCGGAGGCAAAATGAGCAAGAACGCTCATTTGTACATCATTCTAGACAGAAATAAATGGCCTTTTTAGAAAGTTTACCATGGATGGGGAAATGTTGGCAGTTTTCTCAAAAAAGGCTTGAATTCAAAAAGTTTTAGATTTGCGTGTTTGTTTTGAGTTGCAAAATCCACTTGAACATGACGCTGCTTTTTTCGAAGTTTCTCAAGAACCATTCGAGCCACAGAATTCGTTTTGGCATCGTTGGATAGAGAATTGAAAACTCGATTCAGTCGTAACAACGCGAGTGAGAAATTCGAGTAGTTTTGACCCAGAAAGCGAAATTTGAATTAAATATTACACACTTAGGTGCAAGATTATGCCAACATTTCATGTTTTCCGTCCCATTTTTTCTCATTTCTCGGAGGCAAAATGCGCAAGAACGCTCATTTGTACATCATTCTAGACAGAAATAAATGGCCTTTTTAGAAAGTTTACCATGGATGGGGAAATGTGGGCAGTTTTCTCAAAAAAGTCTTGAATTCAAAAAGTTTTAGATTTGCGTGTTTTTTTTTGAGTTATAAAATCCACTTGAACATGACGCTGCTTTTTTCGAAGTTTCTCAAGAACCATTCGAGCCACAGAATTCGTTTTGGCATCGTTGGATAGAGAATTAAAAAGTCGAATGAATGAAATAAATGGTCTAGACAGAAATAAATGGCCTTTTTAAAAAGTGAACAATCGATAAGGAAATGTTGGCTTGAATTCAAGAAGTTTTATTGTTTATTTTATTTGAACATGACGCTGCTTTTTTCGATAGAATTCGTTTTGGCATCGTTGGATAAATAATTGATTCAGATAAAACCCTTAGAACGTTTTTGAGAAACTGATGGGCGAAAAACTCACCAATTGCAATATTAACTGTCTATAAATTTGTCTTTGAGCCTAAAATGTTTAGTCCAAGTTGCACCGTCTTGCCACTAAAACTTTAATACCAAATTAATTGAAAAAAGTTGTTTTTAGCACGGGAGTTTGAGCAATTTAGAGAAACCATCCCGCCTTGCTTTAGCCATAAAATATACTTTGCCCTAAAACAATTTCCTGAATCCTGCAAGATTAACGAGCAATTTTAATCGCGCAAACTACCTCAGCTTAGTTAATTAACTTACCAGGCCGCCTCCGATCACAATTACACTTGCTTTATCCGCGTTTTTCCCATGCATTTTATAAAAGGTAAACCACTCAGTGTGAGAATTTCTGCAAGACTGTTGCGAATTCCTGCAGGCTTGAAACAGAATATTGACCGCATCCTATAAGGTTTCTTGATATTCGATACTTGCAGCTCAGGAGCGGTCGACCGCAATTAAAAAAATGTCATCCTTCTGAACATACAATTTATTTATCTGCTCCAAACTCGCCGGAGTGGATTAACGGGGCATTTTACACCCTTTCTTCTCCCTTAGACTGCGCCACACAATGGTAGATTTTTTAAAAGTTTGACTACTCTTTGTCTGTGAAACTCGATAGGAATTTTCCGGAAAAACTTGTACACTTAGCGGGACTAATTAGATCTCCGGGTGATTTGCGTAGGTTTTCCCCCGCGGCCTTCAAACCTCAAACCAGCAAATTATTTACTGAAACCGCCCGAATAAATTGGCCCTTGGAGATTGATTGAAAACCCCCGAGCGAATTTATGGAACAGAATGTTCTCAATTATCACCGAATCTCGGCGGAATGTGAAAAATTCCCGATGCCTTTTGCATGCGCTTCCAAGTTTGCTGTCCGCTCTTATAAAACAGACACCGGCGATTGGGGGACGTTGGAAAAATTTGGGAAATTGGATGAAAGCCCTGACTCAAAGCTGACAGATCCTCATTATCCCCAAAAATCTTTCGCAGGCCCTTTTCCAATCGCATTACGGTTTTAAGCGGCTTGATTCCGAAGTTATTGAAGCTTATCGGGCTGGTTGCGATGACAGAACTGCCTCAGCTTCTTTTATTGGGTGGTTCGCTTTAGTCAGAGGGAGCGAATGACTGGAATGTCGACATGTGTTTAATTGAGGAAAAGTATTGAAAACGCCCATTCATCGGTCCAATTTTGCAAAAGATACCGCGACAGAATATGCTTGTTTGTCGCACAAATGAAATGTGTTTTCACACGCTATTCGCCAGCGCCGGGGGTATTTGTATCGGGTGCTCATTCAATATTCACCTGATAATTGAGCATGGTAAATCCCATTTGTCCAAAGCCCCGAAATATCCATCGAAACCTATTATATGGAGCCATCGGATCGCATAGTTTCAATAATGCATATTGAATTCAGCAGCTTTGTTGTGCTAAATTGATGGAACTGATCGGTTTTAATGTTTCCATATTGCACAGGACTTTGCATGGAATTGCCTATCAAATAAAGCCTGTTTTCGACAAGGAGATCAATTTAAAAAAAAAACCTTCCAACTCTCTTGGTTTTCTCATATCGACGTTTTCAGCGCCAATTCGCTTTACGACGGTTTTTAAACCCCAAAAAAACTGACTTTAACTGTTTTGTTAACCATTTGCATAATTTGATGAACAAACACGGTGTTCGAGTTCCAGCAAATAAATATCCATTTTCAGGACTTGATATCCATTTGCATTAAAATCCGTGTCGTTCGTAGAACCCGTTTTCCTCAGCTACGCCGTGAAAAACTCCAACATTCCACGTTGCGCTGCGCTGCGCGACGACTGACTGAATTTTCCGACTTTCCCGGCGAACTTTTCAAAGTTCGTCTAGTGCGGCTATCGCGTTTCACCCAATCCCACCTGACAAACGGGAATTATTTTGGGGAAAAGTCCGAGACGTTTCCGCGTTTATTCAACCACCTGTGGACATTGATCTTGAGGGGCTTAATTTTTCGTTAATGGAAAACTGCATTTGTTTAATCCTTCCAGGTGGAAAATTGGTGAAGTGCATCAATTAGACTAGAGGTTGTAGTGGATGTTTTTGTGTCTGGATGTTTCTGGACAGCTTTTGCATGGTAGGCAGAAATTACAACTATTTTTTTTACCTCCAAACCCTTTTCAAAGTTGCCTGAAGCATCTTCCTGGTGAATCACCCTGAAGCAAACTTCCCAATTTCCACTTCTCGGCCGTTCGAAACTCGAATAAATCAACATTTAACTAGAGTTCTATGTTTGAAGGCCCCAAATCAAATAAAACTAGTTCACTTAGTCATCAAAACTGCAGTTTTTTAACAGTTTTTCCCGTTGTTGCACCTATCCGAGTTCCAGATCCCATTTCATAATCCATTAGTTCAGCTTTTTGTAACGAGACTTGCAGTTTTACATTTCAGTTTCCATAATTGGCGCTTTTCCAGATTTCCCAATTTTTAAGCCGGCAGCCAGTAATAAATTGGCAAATGCTGCAAATCGCTCCTCTTGACAATTCGAATTACCATCCCCGGGTAATCCAATTTTGCCTCAAGTTGGGATTATTCTACATAAAATTTCGATTGAAACCAACTAAAACCCAGGCAAATTAATTTCTAAATAAAACCTGCAAAACGTTTTTTTGCGAAATAGTTTATCGTTAATCCTTTGCAAAATTGGACCGTCCTCGATAGGAACCTAGTTGTGACGTTTCGCTAGTTGGCATCGTTAACATCTTCAGATTCCGGACGCTGATTCAAATCAATCAAGCGAAACTTTTTGTGCATTCGGGAACGCAGGTTTGAAGGCACAACATCGGCTCTCTCACTCACGCCCATAAAAGTCTAAGAGAGACGCAAGATGGCCCGCGGGGTGCCACGTTCCATATTGCTACCTTTGCCGCTTGAAATAGTTTAGGTTTGAACGAGAGAAAGTTTGCGAAAATAATTTAAATTGCATTTTGGTATTGGAGACTAGTCAACCTTCAGACAAAAACTAGTTATCGAATCTAATCATCGAAAATTCGGACAAAATAAGGAAACGATTATTGTCGCATTTTTACTTCGTGGTTGAAAGAAAATTGCTCCTGATGTGTCACCAGCATGCATGGCTACCACCCTCACCAAATAATAACTGGAAAACCACTAGTTTTCCACCATTTTATTGCGCAAAATGTCTGGCAGTCTCTTCAAGAAAAACGACCTCTGGATAATCCCTGATCTTATCCGGGGTTAGAGATGGAAATTGGATAATTTCGTCGGATTTGCATGGGGATTACAAACCGAATATAGACTATTAACTCCGTTAGAGATTTCATCCCAGTTACAATAAATATTCTTCTTGGCAAGTTTGAAAAATTTGAGTTGTTAATTACAAAGTTCCGATTCTGAAACTTTTGAACTTTGCACAGTGAATTAACCAAAATAGTTGGAAGTTGCTACAATAACTGCCGTTATGTGGACAGCAACTTCTGGATTCCCCCAGTTAAAACTCAATGGACTGAAGTTTTCTTTGAAATAAATTGCCATTTTTAAATGTAAGCCCATTTTCACGACTCTGTTTGAATGTTGTGTTATTTGAAAATAAACACGACATTGAACCGGTTGCAAAAGAATTTAAACAACTTGGAGAAGCACTGAAAGTGTTTTCGCGATCCGTTCAAGGAGAAGTTCCGAAATGCAAATGAAAATTAATTTTCCCGACTGGAAATGGGAAATTTTCGTTGACGCCGAAATAGTTTGCGGTAGTCATTTGCACTTTCTTCGACAGTTAACCGCTAAATTTCATTTACTCGTACACTGTTAAAAATGAGTTGAAAATGCAGTTACTTTTCAGTAAGTTTTGTAACTAAAAATTCAGTTTTAGGTTGTTGAAAATAAATTCATGTACATTTTGATTGAATTTTCAGTATTCTTATTGATTATTATTGTTCGCACTACAACGGACGAATTAACAGATTTCCAACCATTAGAAACACTTGCTGAGTATGGCACGAAGAAGTTATATAAAATAACCTACTTCTTCTTCTTCTTTTTTTACCAAAAGGCATTTGTATTTTCAATAACAAGTATCTGAATTTTCAGTTACGTGTGTGGAAAAAACTTCAATTACATTTGACTGAAAATTCAACCGGATTTTTTTAACAGTGTAGTTTAAAGGCAAATGTGGAAACATAACTGGTGTTCTTTTGGGAAATTTTTAATATATAATTAAGCAAATGCTCCCTCGTTAGGGACAAAAAGCGGGGAAGTCCTAGAAAAAATCGCGTTGCCAGAAAGGATCTGAATAATTCGGCCATTTATCTGCATTAGGCCCTCATCCAAAATCGCCCTTGCAGATGGGCAAAGATACAGTGCCCATTTATTAAACTTAAAGACAAATCTGTATTAAATGAAATCTCAGAAAAAACAGATTTAACTCTTTAAAAGCAAGCTAATGGAGAGCAAAAACCTACAATTTATTCTGTCCTCACCTGCACTAAATAAATTTTGTTCATAAAGCGATTTTTTCCAAGCTAATGCACTTTTTATTGCCTGAACTGAAAGCAATGATTATCTGTATGCTTCATTTTAGCTCACAAGCTCTAGTTAACGGAAATTAGTCCGACTACCTGAATTATTTGATTTTTTAAGCGAGAAATGTGTTGATTTTAGAGCTCGAGCCTAATATTAATGTTCCATTTCAAAGACATTTTTCAAAGTCGCATCCGCTGCTGAAAAGGCTTCGGTAGCAAATTCCAACTCCGTCATTTTACCTTTAGAACTCGCTGTTTCAGCGGATGGGATTTATTCCTGCATAATTTTGTCAATTTGTTTGAATGACACTTTTCGGATATCAACTTGAATGCCTGCCTATGAAATGGCTTTTCTATTCTGCCATCATCGCTCGCAATTCATCGACTCCATTGATGGTGCGTTTTTGCTGAATCATTTTCAGAATTGCGCTTTTTCTGCTTAAGGGGTTCGATTTGACAAAATGCTCGTCATATCGAGAGGGCGCATTTGTTTCGGCTTAAATTCGCAAAAAATGAAAAACAACCCGGTCACATGCAAACGTAAATTTATCGCTGAAATTGAAAATAAAAAATCATTGAAATTTTTTGTGAAGAATCAATTTGGATTATGTAATAAAGCTGATTATTTTTCCGGACTTTAGGGAATAGAGGACAGTAATTTTTCTTGGCGTTTCGCAAGCATACGCGGATTGCGTCTTAGAGACGAGAAAATCGGCGCTTTGTGAAAATGCTCAAAATCATTTGGAAAAATTTGCCTTTACCGGCTGATATTATCTTGATATATGGAGCAAATATTTTTCTATCTGACGCCGTTAAGTTTGTGTTTTCATCT